TAACGAGATGGAAGCACTCTTGAATGACGACCTAGCGAAAAATGCATGACCGCGGACGAACGCGAGCGACTTGCGGCAAAAAATCATCAAAGAAAAACAAATACTCCATCTTCGGAAACACCCCAGCTAAAGTTATGTATAATCATTACAGTAACACACTCTTATTACTATGGAACTTCCTTTGCGAAAGAAATTCAAACCAATGTGCTTCGGTTCAGCTAGTGAAAAAACAGGTAGCAATGGGAATCCATGCTGATCGGAAGTGGCCATGCCATAACATGAACTTATTGTAATCACTCCCGCTTGGAACCTTGCCATAAATTGACAGGCCTTTTAGCGCATATTGTAGCACTTCACTTATAACTTTACAGCGATGTATTAAACAGAGTGATATAAACGGAACTGGTGGTCTTCTTGGCCATACCGTTTCAACTAATGCGCCCATTACCGCTACAATTCTCTTTGACATACTTGATAGCTAACTGAAGACGAATCCGATATACAAGTATATAAAGCAATTTCCATCACTGAGACCAAAACTTTATGATAAAGTTTGCATGCAAATTCATCGACATATACTGCAACATTGTATCGACATTAAGTCGCTCCGTGAAAACGAATCGAACATGATCCAAACATTAATAAACTTTTATATAACAAATTTTAAAAGCAGAGTAATTTAATAAAGAATTTTACACCTTTAAACAATCGACAAATGGCATAATTATTAGTATTATTTTAAAAAGTAGAACGACATAAATCTGCACCGAAACTGTAGTACAAAATATTATTTTAATTACTGCTTATTTTGAAGATCATGTAAGTACTGTAGCAATGCATTCCGCCTTATTAAAGCGTTTCGATGCAAACGGTGTTGTTCAATAATTTAGAAGCAGATTTAGCCGTATTTACATAAATAAATGTGTAGTGTATGATTATCCTAATGGTCCTCGTTTATCGATCTATAGTTTGAAGCAACGGTTTATTGCTATACGAAGAAAAGTACAAAAGTTAATTGTTGCTTTAAGTCATGGATCTAAGATTATTTATTGCTACCCAGGTAGGCAAAGACTCCATAGTTC